GGCCTTAGGATCCAATGGAATCCTAAGGATTCCTAAGGATTCCTGAGGATGCTTGACTATGCCTACGGATTCCTAAGGATGCCTACGGATTCCTAAGGATACCTAGGGATTCCTAAGGATTCCTACGGATGCCTCAACCTGCCTCAGTTTCAGCCTCAGCCTCAGCCTGCCTCGGCTTGCCTCAGCCTCAGCCTCAGCCTGCCTCGGCCTCAGCCTCAGCTGCCTCAGCCTCAGCCTCAGCCTGCCTCGGCCTCAGCCTGCGTCAGCCTCAGCCTCAGCCTGTCTCAGCCTCAGCCTGCCTCAGCCTCAGCCTCAGCCTCAGCCTGCCTCGGCTTGCCTCAGCCTCAGCCTCAGCCTGCCTCGGCCTCAGCCTGCCTCGGCCTCAGCCTGCCTCAGCCTCCCCTCCTCCCCCCCCTTCCCCCCCCCCCCCCATTCAGCCTCACCTTGTCTCAGCTTCGGCCTGCCTCGGCCTCATCCTCAGCCTCAGCCTCAGCCTCAGCCTCAGCCTGTCTCGGCCTGAGCCTGCCTCGGCCTCAGCCTCAGCCTGCCTCAGCCTCAGCCTGCCTCAGCCTCAGCCTCAGCCTGCCTCAGCCTCAGCCTGCCTCAGCATCAGCCTCAGCCTCAGCCTCAGCCTCAGCCTCGGCTTGCCTCGGCCTCAGCCTCAGCCTGCCTCGGCCTCGGCCTCAGCCTCAGCCTGCCTCAGCCTCAGCCTCAGCCTGCCTCAGCCTCAGCCTCAGCCTCAGCCTACCTCGGCCTCAGCCTGCGTCAGCCTCAGCTCAGCCTGCATCAGCCTCAGCCTGCCTCAGCCTCAGCCTCAGCCTGCCTCGGCGTGCCTCAGCCTCAGCCTCAGCCTCAGCCTGCCTCGGCCTTAGCCTGCCTCGGCCTCAGCCTGCCTCAGCTCGGGCATTCAAAATGTGACACTGGACTGGTGTTCTGGGAACACGAAGATTACGAAGTTGCCCACAGTTGGCTCCGGGCATTCAAAATATGGTGCAGGAATGGTGTTCTGGGAACACGAAGAACACGAAGTGGCCTACAGTGGGCTCCGGGCATTCAACATTAGCTTGGGAATGGTGTTCTGGGAACACGAAGAACACGAAATGGTCTACAGTTGGCTCCGGGCATTCAAAATGTGGCCTGGGAATGCTGTTCTGGGAAGACGACGAACACGAAGTGGCCTACAGTTGGCTCTGGGCATTCAAAATGTGGCCTGGGAATGCTGTTCTGGGAGCACGAGGAACACGAAGTGGCCTACAGTTGGCTCCAGGCATTTAAAATGTGGCCTGGGAGTGGTGTTCTGTTGGCTCCCCGAACAGTCAAAATGTGGCCTCTGGCAGTGAAAATGGGGAGTCCCCGGATTCCCGCGGCAGTCCCCGGATTCCCGCGGCACCTGTCTGGCATCTGCCCAGACCCCCCTGGGGAGTCATGATGCTCTCTTTTGAGACCACTCGAAATATATCAGTCTTCGCTGTTAGGTAATATGGAACCCGTACCCCTTGAGAACCCTTGGGATCGAGGATTGAGGCTTAGAAGATTTGGCGATCAAGGGCAGAAAAAAACGCCCCTACCCTGGTTTACGAGGCGCTGTGCGCTGAAACTCCTGTGGGCTGACTGGGTAAACCCTGCGTGATGTGCCGCGTCCTGGCGGCTCTAGGCTTTGGGGGCTCCCAGGAGGTTTGCAGACCATGCACTTGTAACCCAGGGTAGGGTCGTTGTTTCATCCCTCAAGGCGAAGGGCCCGAGGAAACGCCCACTCCGTGCCTAGCGGCGCGGTGGCGGAGTCGTTGTCGTTAGCATCGCTGTCGTTTGTCTAGCAATGTGGTTGTTGTCGGCGCGATCGTTGTTTCTGTTGTCGTCGTCGTTGTTGTGGTTGTCGTTGTTATCGCTGTCTCTTGGTCCTCGTCCTCCTGACCTCCTCGGCCCTTCTCCAGCAGCGCCCCCTCTCCGCTGCAGGAGTTCCCAGTGACGTTGAGTGCGGCCGCTCCGCTCGACCAAAGCGGCCCATCATTCGGTCCCTCTTCCTGCCTCGAGCACTGCGCGGTCGTCGCGTGTCCGACGCCACGCAGTGGCTCGGAGTGCGGGGGTGGGGGCTGGGAGGAGAGGGTGGCGGGGCGGGGTCAGTTGTTAGTGTTTGTGCGCCCTCATTCAAGGGTGGCCTTCGTTCTCAGGGTGGATCCTGCGTGACCTCTTGCCCGTTGCTCCCGAATCGTCCTGCTTACCAAGTGGGGTGCGTGGCAGGGGAAAGGCAGTGATGAGGGATGGGGTACAGACAGCGTAGAGAAGTGCAGCGGCGTTGCGGCATGAATTAGGGGAGCGCAGAATGACAGAAACATAGAAACTCGCGGAGGTCCGCGCGGATTTCTCGGATCCGCGCTGGCTCCCCTGGCGGCGCCTCCGGCGCCGCCCTTGGCGCGCTGCTTGCGCCAGGGAGGGGGGTCCAGCGCCGATCCGAGAAATCGGCTCGAACCTCTGAGTTTTTATGTTTATGTCATTGTTCGTTCCCCTAGTATTTAGTCGAGCCTGTCCCTCTACAGGAGGAATATTCAAAAATAGTCGAAAATATTCTGGGGACGATTTGTGGACTATTTTTGATAGTTTTGGAGCATTGTTCTACTATTGTTTAGTTTTCGTCCAAAATCCGCCTGTAGGGGGACATGTCCGACCTAACCCTAGTAGAGAAGTGCAGCGGCGTTGTGGCACGGATGGAACTGCTGCGTGGTGATTACGTTGCTTGTGCGCGGCGTGGGGCAGCTCAGTGCAGGTCAGTGCCGACGCTGGTCCTCCACCTCGGCGCTCCCCCCGCCGCAGTCGGCAGCTCTGAGTGGCTGGGCCTCCTCTCCCCCCTGTCGCGCCGGGGCTCCTTCTCCTCCTCCGTGCGTTGCGGCCTTAACTTGCACAGAGCGTGTCCCCTGTTGCCAATCCGCCGCAGCAATCTCCCTCTGCCCAGCCGCCGACGCACAAAGTGCGCGACGTGGGGTCGGGGCACTTGTAAGGGGGGGGGAGGCGCGCGCTGCAGGGGGCCCGAGAGAGCCCACCCCGCCGATCAGGAGCGCGCAGATTTTCTCGCGCTCTCGGGGGCCCGCTTCGCCGAGATCTGTCGGCGATGCCCTCCGATGCCAGGCCGCCGCTGCTCCCCGTGAGCTAGTCCTCCTCCTCCCTCTCCTCCTCCTCCTCCTCCTCCTCCTCCTCCTCCTCCTCCTCCTCCTCCTCCATCATCCGTTCTCCCTCCTCTCCTCCTCCTTCTCCTCCTCCTCCTCTCCTCCTCCTCCTCCCCGTCCTCCTCCTCCTCCTCCTCCTCTCCTCCTCCTCCTCGTCCCCCTCCTCGTCCCCTCCTCCCCCTCTTTCTCTTCCTCCTCGTCCTCGTCCTCCTCTTTTTCCTCCTTCTCCTCCTCCTCCTCCTTCTCCTCCTCCTCCTCCTTCCCCCCCGTAGCTGGTCCCCCCATATCTTTGTCCCTCATGCGAGCGTGGTGCGGGTGGCAGGAGCATCCGTCTCTGCACCTGCGCAGGCCTTCTTGGCGCCAAGCAGCCCTCGGGCATGCGGAAGCCATCGTGGGTTTGTTGTGGGCTCTACTGGTCAAGGGAGGAGGAGCCACCCCGACACAGATAATTGGCGTTTGCCAAACGGCACTGGGCATATACTAAGCAGCCCTGCTCTGTTCGATTCCTTCCTTGGGTGCGTTTACAAGTTACGTGGCTTCGCCTGTCGGGGTGCTGATCATGAGGGTGGACTGTTGCTCCCCAGTTGGGGGACCGTGTGTCGGCGGCGCTTGTGCTTGACTCCTTCTGCCACCAGCAGTGCCCGATCCGGCCACGTGCAGCACCCTTCGTCTGCCCCAGGGCCAGGACCTTCGCCGCTGCGGCCAAGGAAAAAAAGGCGTCGGCGGCTCGCCCAGACGTGTGCACGCTCGGACGTGTGCACTGCTATTGGCGAGGACCAGCGAGGATCCTGTTGGGTCATCTTGGCGGAAACACGCACGAAACCGAAACATGCACGGAGAATGGATGTCCGAGCGATGGATTGGAAGGTCGCGGGGTTTCTCAGAAGCTTTCGCGCCTTCTGAGAAGGTTTCGGTGCTTTCTGAGAAGGCTTGAAACACTTCGCAGTAGGCCAGAGGCCTTGCGATCCTTCGGAGAAAGCCCGCCCCTCCTTACTTCCCCCCCCCCCCCAGGCGCGCCGCCGAGTGCGGGATTTGAGGGCCGTGTTGGGCGTCTTCGGGCTGGCTGGTTTGTTCGGTTTTGTTTGGAGGGGTGTTGGATGCGCCTGGAAGTCCCGTCTGGATCCACCCGGAGGTGGCTACATGCGGGTGTCTTGGGGCACGCGTTACTGGCGCGGTCTTGGGCCTCGTGGGGCTTGCCAGGGGCCCTTCTCTGATTGCTGGGAGGCTGCCCGGGCATCCAGAAGAGCCTCTGGCGGCCTTCCGCCGACCATCTTGGCCCTCCCGCGTGATGCGGCAGACGCGTGAATGGTGTTGACATCCGGGGGCCTGCTGTCCAGCAGCGTCGTGTGGCTGTCGGGAGGGGTTATCAGGCCTGTCTTGGCCCGATCACGGAAGAGCGAAGCATGCACAAAGAAGCGCAGCGACAGAAGGATGGACGACAGCGGAGACAGGAAAAGAGGAGGGCACGTTCAGAAAATGAAGCCGTGGCATGGTACCTTTTGGGATGCGGATGTTTGCGTCGCAGCCGTATTGTATGGGATACACACTTACCAAATCGAGCGAGCCCCTCACTGGTGCAACCAGTTCCAGCTCAGTGCTGCAATTTGTTATTATGTTGCCGGCTTGTCTGACCAGGCCACAGTGTTGCAGTCAAGCCCAAGTGACACGACGTCGAGCGTGGCCATGTCGGGTGGGAGATACATTCGTACATATGAGAAATGTTTGTTAATATTCTTATATCTCTCGCTCTCTCTCTCTCTCTCTTTCTCTCTCTCTCTCTCCTTTGTTTTCTTTATCTCTCTCTCTCTCTCTCTCTCGGTGTCTGCCCCTCTTTTTTTTTTTTTTCTCTCTCTCTCTCTCTCCCTCTCTCTGTCTCTTGCTCCCTGGCTTCCCTTTCTTCACTCGCATAAGCATGCTTCAATGTACCATCCGATTGGATGACAGCAGGTTTGTGAGGATGACGAATTCTTGGTCAGAGTGTGTACGGCTATGGGATTTGTGGTCTCAATCGTTTCGCTCATTTTTGTCGCACACAGCGCGTTTTGATTGACTTACGCGAGCATCCACATCTGGTTATGACGGTACCTGAAGTCGGGAAGTTTTCTGATCCAGTGTTTTTTTCAACAGAGTGCTTGTTTGCTTTGTTATGATCCGCCACCGGTGCAGGCCAGTGCATCGTCAGTGCGGAGGCGAGGTTGACACGGCTCCATGATCGTTCGTCCATTCTTGGTTTGATCTTATTTTTCATTGGTAACGTCGTCATGTTGTTCGCGAATTGTGGGTGGGGTTCTGAGGTTGCGCGAGATTCGAGTGATGGTGCGCAAGTGTATCTAGCAGAAGCAGTCGATCAGCTGCCCGCCAGACAACAATTTCAATGTTGACGTATCAAACTGAAAAGGGCGTATTTCGACACGGCCCTGAGGGAGGTCTTCTGCCGGTGGAGAAGCAATTTCATTAACATAAGCGTGCGGAGATGCGCGCGGATTTCTTCGATCGGCGTTTGGCCCCCCTGGCGGTGTCTCCGGCGCAGGCCCTGGCACGTTCCGATCCAAGGAGTCACCACGGATCTCCGACAGTTTACAGTGGAGGCCCATGCCAAGAAACACCTTGCTTGCTTGCCTCCAGGGTGCCCTGGGTCTCTTGGGGTTAACCCTCATTTATAAAGTGTTTGCGTCCCCGAGGCAACAAACCCTCGTAAATTACACAGTTCGCGCCCCCGAGGCAACAAACCCTCGTAGATTACGCAATATTCGCGTCCCCGAAGCCATCAACCTTTGCAACTTACGCCGTATTCGCACTTCCGAGGCCAAGAGTGCTCCAAGGCGCCCGAAGATGGTTCCAAGACGGCCCGAGAGGGCCCAAAGAGGCCCCAAGAGCGCTCTAAGAAACTTCCCAAAAATCAATGGACGTCCTGGGGTCTCAGGGCTGGGTTTATTGTGGAAGGTTTCTTGAGGATTGGCCTCCACTGTATGTTTATGTTTTTTTGTTCCTCGAATCTAGGACCGATCAGATCACATGCACTACGGAGCACGGTCGTGGCCAGCCCCTGTCAGTGTCTCGACCAGTGATGGCGAGGAGGAAAGAGGCGAGGAAAACAAATAGCCTGGCGACGGATCCAACCATATTCAGCTGTGAGTACCGCAGTTGTGGGTATCGCCTTCGGTGGAGCTCCCTGTGGGCCACGAAACGCCGTGCCGGGCGGGGGAGACGCACGTGGACACCGCCATTGGGGTCGACGGAGGAGAGGGACGTAATGATGGAGGGGGAGGGCAGCTGGCACGAGGGGGAGAATCGACCGAGACTGGCATACTTGGCCTCGTGATCGTTTGTTCTATTCCTTGTGGTGCCGATCGGCGCGCGGGCCCTCGCACCCCCCCCTCCCCCCCTCCCCATGGAGCAGATCTTGGCTGTTCTTGGCACCTGTGTAGAGCAGGTGGAGCCTGCCCCGTCGGGCGCACTGCTGCAAACGGTCGCACTTATCAGAGGTCCGGAGCCAGACCCCACCCTACCCCCCCCCCTCCGCAAAATGTCGAAACGCCGAAAAAGAACACGCTCACCCTCACCTCCCTGGCGCGCGGAGCGCGCGCCAGGGAGAGCGCGCGCCAAGGAGGGGAGCCAGCGCCAATCTCGGAGGTGGATAGACCTCATACCCTGACACGTCGATTAAGGAATTGGCCGCTTTCGGTTCGCGAGAGGGCGCCGCGGCCGTCGTTTTTGTGGGTCCAGGTCCGTCGGTTTCGGTCCCAGGCCGTTTTCACTAAGGGGAGGTTTACTAAAGGGAGGTTTGTCCACCGCCGACAATCGAAGAAATCCGCGCCGACCTCCAAAAGTTTATGCTGATTCGGTTTGCATTCCCCCAGCCTATCAATTATGGCCGCTGCTCTGGGGGTACTTGTGAATCCTTCGCATGATTCCATGTGTTTTAGTAGTTCATCTTAGCACCACCAAGCGTCCCCGTATGGCAGTCTGGCCCTTCCTCTTGAGACCTCATACTGACCCTGAAGCGCTTGCCTTTTTGAACGATACACGTACAGAGGGCAGGTAGTTCAACACATCGGATGTTCGCATGATCGACGCGCACATTCGTGATGTTTCCAGTTGCTCCACGCATGTGTACAGGCTTTCAATGTGTGCTTAGAACTTCAGCGTTGCACGCATTCGCCGTAGAAGTCACCAACATGTGCAAGGATATAAGCCTCGCCCTAGATCCGTATGCATAGCCCGCTAAAACAATCTGCCAGCAGTTTCTCTGCTACACGGTGTTTGTTCTTCGACATGAGGGTCTCGTTTCAAAATCCAGCTCTCGCCTGAGTCTTCCGTATCAGTACTTCGTGATTCTCGAGCATACGTTCCCAGCGGATGCATGGACGGGGACTTGTTTTCTTTCAAAAGTTATCTCCGTTTGCAGGGCCTTTAACGCTTGGACGTTGCATTGCTGCAGGGGTGGAGAGTGGCTCCTTTCGAAGATCGTGGCGCCGCCATGTCGCAGCGCACATCTTTGCTACATCCGCTACGAGCTACACACTCCGTAGCCATTTTGGCTCAAGTGCTGTTGCGGGCCAAATTGGCTCTTCGTCTTCGCCCAGCTGGCCACACCAGCTTGGGCACTCCATTTCACTTGCGCGACACGGCTTCGTTTCTGCCATGTCGCAAGGATGTAAGGGTTCGCCTGGGCACGGTGACGGCGGCGTCAAAGGCAAGCCGTGGGCCCAGGATCGCGCCAACCTCGTGCAGTGGCCTCCTCTCGTCCCTGGTCCTCAGCTTTCTGCTCTTCCACCGGTTGCTGGCAGGGGACGCTGGATGTGTGAGGTCTGCGGCTGCAAGCGCAACGCCAGCTACTTCACCTGGTGCAAGCACTGCGGTTCCACGAGGTTGCCGCCCAACTCAGTCTGGCAGGGTGGCTACGGCAAGGGTCTGGTGCAGCCTCCTGGGGATCTCAAGGGCGGCAAGGGTCACAGCTTCGGCTACGTCGAACCAGTCGCCAAGGGAGGCAAACCTGCTGGCCAGACCACCCTGTCGGAGCCTAAGCTGTCTATGGAAGAGTACCAGCAGATGGCCACTCTCTGCGAGAAGCTCGGCGACGTGGAGGGGGCTAAGAGGGCGCGCCTTGCGGCTCAGGCGCTTGCGCCCCGCCCTCAGCATCATGAGCCCCTGCAGGTCCAGCTCTCTCGTGCACATGGTCACGCTCGCTCGGTCGAGAAGAAGCTGGAGGCGGCCGTCCTCAAGTTCGAGTCGATCGAGGAGCAGCTGGAGGCTCAGAAGTCCCACGTGCTGTCCTTGCGTGAGGAGCTGGCGGCCGCCGAGAAGCAGCACAGCGCCCTCTTCCACCGCCTGCACTCCGAATATGTCGACGGGCCGTCCGCTGAGAGGACCAAGCTCACCATCGACGACATGCTGGACGACACCAAGCTGGAGGCTTGGCTTGACTTGTCTGCAGAGTCGCTCTTCCACATGGGCGAGCTGGAGTTCGAGCTCAGCGAGTCGGACAAGCAGGAGCTGCAGAGCAGGGCGACGCAGCTTCGCGAGGGCATCGCCACCATGGCCGCCAACCTGTTCAAAGAGTCGAAGTCCAAGGTGGAGGCCATCAAGGTGGAACACCAAGCCCACCTGCAGCGTCTCAAAGACGAGAACGAGAAGAAGCGGAAGACCAACGCAGGTGCTGCTGTCACGGTCCCAGCCGCTTCGGGTCCTGTCGTCGGCCCTGGCAAGGGCAACGCAGCACCTGCTGGAGGCGATGGAGGTGCTGCTCCTGCCGGCAGCGCGTCCGCCGCTGCAGCCGCGGCCAGCGGGCCCGCCGCTGCGGCACCTGGCGCCGCTGCGGCCGCTGCAGACGCCGACGGCGCCGCCTCAGCAGCAGCCCTTCGCCAGCGCGCGGACAGGATCGCCCAGACACAGTCTCAGGCCGCCCCCCCTGGAGGAGCAACGCCCATGGAGTCATGAAGTTCCGCTTCTGAGCTGCCAGCTTGCTAGCCTTCAGGGGGGACCCCTGCAGCACACTTGCAATCTTTCCTGTCCTGCCTGGCCGCCAGCTTTTGGGCCAGCCGATGTTGTAGTCTCGGACTGTCTGCATCTTGCTCGTGTCGATCTCTGGCGCAGGAGGGGCCTCCCACGCTTTCTTAGAAGTCCTGGTGTCCAGACGAAGGATAGATCGGTTCGGTCGCGATGGTCGTCGCTGCTTGCCCGTGCCGATGCGGTCGCGTCGCCGTCCTCGTCGTTACAGCTGGACGCCAGGCCAGGCAAGACGTGTACGCGCGCTGCCTGCGATTTCTCTCGGCCTTCCCTGCTTTGCCCAGTTGCTCAGCTCGGAGCAGGCGTAGGCAAGAGCGTCCATTCGGCCACTGTTGTTCAGCTTCCTTTGGCCGACGTGGACGATCGATTCGAGTCCCTTCTCCATGAGCGAGGATTGCACGTCTCTGGTCAGGCTGAGCTTGGATCGGAGCTGCCGAAGGTCAGCCCTCCTTCTCTGGTTCGCCAGTCTGCCCGTCCCCAACCTTTGCCAGGATGGCTTGATTTAAGGTCTCAGAACGCGGGCGTCGGCTCCGACGCCCCACGGCAGCCCGTGCAGTCTGTTTCCTCTCCCAAGCATGCTCCTGTCAAGGATGGAGGTGCGAGACCTGATCCCAACAGTGTTGAGCTGTGTATTAAGACCATCAACTGCAACTCATGGGGCACCATGCGTGGCCTTCTGGAAAGCCTTTCACACGCCCATATCGTCCTTTGTCAGGAGCACCGCTTGAGAGGGGAAGATGTGCAGGCGGCCAACGCGTGGTGTATCAAGAGGGGCTGGAAGTCCCTCTGGTCCGAGGCTGAGAAGACCGAGGCAGACACCTCGGCGGGCGTTGCCATCTTTGTGAAGGATTGGATAGGACTTCAGGGTATGGAAGGAGGAGAGATTGTTCCAGGCAGGTGTCTTGCGGGCTCCATCCACCTTCCTGGCACCTCCCCCATCGTTGTTGTCTCGTCTTACCTCTACCACACTGAAGAGTTGTCTGATCGCAATCTTGGAATCCTGTCTCGTCTCGGTCTCTTCCTCACCAGTTGCGATTTGCCCTTCGTTGCCGGAGCTGACCGCAACTTCGAGCCACCCCTTCTGGAAGATACCGAGTTTGTCAGGAAATTGCGAGGTGTTCTTGTGGTTCCAGCTTCGTGCACGCACTTCCCGTCGGGGAAGCCTTCTGTCTTTGATTATTTTATTTGCTCGGGGGGGCTGGCCAAAGGTGTGAGAGAGTGCGCCGTCGATTTCTCTACGTCCTTGACCCCCCACCGACCTGTTAACTTGATCTTTTTCCCTCAGCTTGCCGTTTTGCAGGCGTTGTCGTTTCGGAAGCCCCCCCGCTTCCTGTGGGGGCGGTGTTCGGACCTCGGCCTCAAGGTTCCTCCTGGGCCCGTGAGCTCGATCTTGCCAGGGAGGTTCTGGACAAGGTTGAAAAACAGGATTTTTGGGGGGCCCACAAGCTCTTGGGTCCGTTGTATCAGGCGTGGGCGGACCGAGCCGAGTCCGACCTTGTGCCGATTCTGGGGGCCGAGCTGCTCAAGAAGGGCTGTCGTGGGTCGGGGCCTCAGTTGGTCTGGCGCTCTCTCCTCACTGCCGACGGCCGCAGCAAGTACCCTGAGCACCGCGCTATTCGTTGGCTGGCGGCTCAGTGGCACGCCTTAGTTCTTGCTCGCCGTGCAGGCGACCGCCGTTTGTCGGATAAGCTGGGCCTCATGCTTTGCCAGCCGCCGACGCACATCGCGCAGCACGTGGGCTCCAGGACCCAACTGTTTTATCGTGCTGCTCGCATTGCTGGCGCCTCCGACCAGACGATCGATGATATTGAGGAGTTTGAGGTTGAGTTAAAAGATGAACTCGAGGCCGCCAACAAGTTTTTCGCCAAGCAGGCTCGTGAGGACTGGTCTGCCTGGCTGTACGTCGGCGTCTCCTCGGGCTCGCGGCGAGTCCATCAGATCACCCGAGATCCCTCCCCGTGGACCCCGACCACCACGCTTAGCGCCAAAGGTTGCACCGTTTCTGACCCCCTCTCCTTGTTGCGGGCTGAAGGTGCTCGCTTTAGTGCTGCGTGGGGCCAGGGTTCGGGGGTCGAGCCTTCGGGGGAAATCTTGGAGCCACTTCCTCGTCTTAGCGTCGATGAGATTAGAGCCGCCTCCAAAAGGTATAAGCCTGGTTCTGCCGTGTCCCTGGACGGGTTCCACTGCCGCCATTTCTCGCTCCTGGGAGATCCAGCGCTGGAGTGTCTCAGCATGGTGTTTGCTCTCATTGAAGCCCTGGGTTGCCTGCCGCCCCAGATTTCGGTCGTCCTTCTTGCTCTCCTCTCGAAGCCTGCTGGAGGCTACAGGCCGATTGGGGTGTTCTGCTCCTGGTACAGGGTTTGGGGGCGTCTCCGTCGCCCCCTGGCCCTGGCCTGGGAGCAGCTACACCCCAGACGGTACTGGGCCGCTGGCAGACATCGAGGGGCGGCCGACGTTGTGTGGAGACAGGCCGTTCGGTCCGAAGCTGGCGTCAAGAGGGGAGATGCCGCCTGCAGTGTCCTCTTCGATCTTCGTAAGTTTTACGAACACATCCCCTTGGCCGCCCTGCAAGAGAGATGTGCTCGGCATGGGTTCCCGCCCGTCATTGCTAGGGTGGCCCTTTTTGCCTACCAGTGTGGGCGCTTTCTCAGTTTGGGAGGCATCGTTGAGGGCCCCTTTTTTGTTCTGAGTGGAGTGGTGGCGGGCTGCAGCTTCGCCACCACTTTCATCCGTGTTCACGGGATGGAGGGCTATGACAGGATAACTCGCCAGCCCATCCTTGAGCTCGATGTTTACATCGACGATCTTGGCCTCTCGTGCGTTGGTCCCCCCTCGAAGGTCATCGCCTCTGTGGTCGGCTGTGCGCAGCAGTTGAAGGGTGTGGTGGAAGAGGTTCTGGGTTGCAGCTTCGCCCTGGACAAGACCTGCATTGTTGCCTCGTCGCGTGCCGTTGGGGAGCAGGTGTCGTCCCAGTTGGCTGAGCTCTCGACCCAACCCTCGTCCTCTGCCGTCAACCTAGGTGTTGACTACACCGCTGGTCGCGCGCTCAGGGTCGGAGGTCGGTGTGCCAAGCTGAAGTCTAGGCTGGCGGCCGCCTGTAGGCGCACCAAGCGGCTCCGTAGACAGAATAAGGTGCTCAAGAGGGGCGCCATCATCAAGGTTTTTTCGGCTGGCCCCTTGGCCGGCGCCAGCTACGGGAGTGAGATCACGGGGACCTCCGACCATGACCTCCTCCTCCTCCGCAGGAAACTCTTCGGATCGGTTCGTCCTCTCTCGAAGCTTCGTTCGCTCACCACCTCGGCCATCCTCGATTCGGACCCTTGTTGGAGAACCGCGTGCTCTCCCATTGTTCGGTGGTCGAAGGAAGTCTGGCTGACTCAGGTGGGCGAGTTCCCTTGGGCGATCGGTCTCCCAGAGCTCAGACGAACTTGGACGAACATTTTTAGCCAGGAAGCGTGTTCCTGGCGCAGTGTGGCTGGCCCCCTCTCTGCCCTGCGTATGTCTCTCTCTAGGATTGGTTGGGTGATGACGGGTTTCATGACCATTAGAGACGACCGTGGCTTCGTCATCCCTCTTGGTCTGTTCTCCACTGCCCTTGTCAAAAAACTGTGCAAAGAGGCTTACTTGCGCATGTTGGAGAGAGACTCTGCGGCCAAACGAGGGGTTAAGCACAGGCTGTGTTATGACATTGTCAAAGAAGCTCTTGCCAGCAGCAAGTATAGTGCTCTCGAGAAGGGTAGGATCCGAGCTTTCGCCACCGAAGCCTTCCTCACTAAGGAGCGTGCGCTCCAGCTGGGCTACCAGACGGATGTTGAGTGCCAGTTCTGCGGAGAGCCTGACAATATTTTCCATAGGCTGTGGAAGTGTCAGGGGGAGTGTATCGTGGAAAAACGCAACTCCTTGGTCAAGGCTGGAGAAATCGAGGCCGCGCTCGAGGCTGAAGGCAGTTATAGGTCTGTTTTGCTCCCGTTCATCTCAGGGGCTTTCGCCCATCCCGCCGACTTCAGCCCGAAGCCCGCGACGGATGCTGATGATGGTCTTATGGTTGTGTGGCATGACACCGATCAGGTCTCCCCTGTAGGCGGCCCCCTAGACAGGCAGCTCTGGGGGTCCCTCTTTATAGACGGCTCGTGCACTCGGCACCCCATCCGTGAATTAAGTCGGGCCGCGTCCTGCGTGGCCATGGTTGACTCTGCTGGTAGGTGTGTTGCCGAATTCAGAGCCCCTGTCTGGGCGCCCTATCCTCAGACCCCACAGAGTGCTGAGTTTTCGGCCTACACGTGGGCCCACATGCTCGGCATCCCAGGCCACGCTTCGGCCCTGTCTGATTGCCTCAATGTTGTTAAGATCGCTGACCTGCCTAAGGCGGCCCATCTCTCTGGTCAGCGCATGTACTCGGGGGCCTTCCTCCAGTGTTACTCCACCGCGTCCTCCCTCCTCCCCGTGGAGAAAGTTGCGGCTCATAAGGACCGTGAGGAGCAAGGCATCTCCAGCGAAGAGAGATGGCGTAGGCAAGGCAATTACTGGGCCGATGTTGGAGCTAAGCATGCTATAGACTTGCATCCCAGCTCGGCCGAAGCCAATGATGTCACGGACAAATTAATAAAGGCGGCCCGCTGCACCCTGCGCCTCGCGGCCCGCCTCCTGCCCTTGTGGGACCCCATAGATTTGTCGGGTGTTGAATTGCTTAGGAAGCCCTCGGCTGCCTCAGCGCCTGCGCCACATGTCTGGAGACCCTGGGCTGGAGCGTGGAGGTGTGAAGTTTGTTTACGCGGCACTCGAGCCTTCGATGAGCCCCCTCCTGATTCATGCAGTGGTCGCAGTAAACTTGATGAGGGCCGTCTCTTGGCTCTGGAGCATCGTGTTTTAGCGTTTGACTGTTCTGACAGCAGCGTTCTTTTCATCTATGTGCGTTGCCACTGTCACTCCTCGGGCCAGAGAGTTCGCGGTTTGTCTGTGAAATGTGTTGGCCGTCCGACCAAGACCACTCGGACGGGCTGGAACACGTTGTGCAAACGAGGCCTGCACCCCCAGTACAGCAAGAGGGAGGTCAGGGTCCACACAGGAAACATTATGAGCCTGTTCAGCTCCGTGGATGGAGTCCTTGAGCCTGCCGAGGAGGAGGAGGAGGTCCCCGCTCCCTCGGTTGAGCCTCCCCCTCCCCCGTCCTCGGAGGTGGAGGAAGCTCGCAGCAAGCACCAGGCCGTCCTGGCCCAGCGCCTGCTTGAGGCTGCCCGAACTGGCTCCTCTCGGCCCTCTTCGGGCTAGTCGGCTCTCCTGGCCACCTTTTTTCGGCCCAGGTGTCTGCCGTGGCGAGTTTTTCCTCGCCTATTTCCTTTCTGCCTGCAGGGTCCGTGTCGGTTTTCGTCTGACACTTGGCCCTGCTGGCCCACATCTGTCCCTCTCCCCCCGCAGTAGAGGGCCAGGCAGAATGTTGCGGTGCAGAGCGTGGAGCTCAAAAAAAACGAGCTACACACTGTGGTTGCGACCCCCGCGCAGACTCGTTTTGCCCCGCAGCCGGATCCAGCTATGATTGGTGATCTGCGTTTCGAAGGGCATGCGGCTCCTCCAACGCAGGTCCACCGAGGCCCCCCTGAGCCGTAAGCTCTCGTGCGCTGACTTTTGAGGAGGGGTCTTCGAGACGGGATCGTACATCGGGGCATCAGCGGTGTGTGCTGGTTTTGTTCCTTGCCTGCGAGCCTGATCCTTCTCTCTCCGGGGCGCAAAGAAAATAAATGCTAATATCAATGTGAATAAGTGAAATGTTGGACATGGAGGGGAAGCGAAGACTGCAGGAACTTGACAAATATTGGAAATCTTGGCATGTGTCGCGATTTATGTGTGTGTGCCCATTTGGGTTCCTTGATCTCTGCATCGACCGCTTGGCTGTTTGAGCTGCCGGACCAGTCCTGCTGCCCTGCCCTACGAGCCTCTCGCCAGGGGCGGCAAGCTCGACAGGGCTGTCCTCCTGAACGACATCGCGAAGATCGCGAGGCAGTCGTCCGCCCTGCCTGTGGCAGGGAACTGGGGGCGGCAAGGAGAGAGTTCGGTAGCAAATCTGGTTTTTCGAGTGTACTAGCGTGCGCTAGCGTTTGGTAGTTAGTCGATGATCAAGCGCTGACCTAGCGTCGAGCAGCGCCGACTTGGCGTCGATGAGTGTCGGTCAGCGTCGATTCGCAAGAGCCAGCAAGATGGCATGAGAGCCTCCCATGAGTTGCCACCTACAGAGCGCAAGGTGGAGCGAGCTTGCATTTTGGGGACGGGTCCAGGAGGATGCATGGGGTCGAGAGCGTTCTGCGCAAAGGAAGATGCACAGGACCCGCCTCAGCAGGAGGAGGATGCAGACGCGCATGATGGGGGGTGTCGCTAAGATGACGTTGCCCTTGAAACGTCATGAAAAACGACCCCCTGGGAAGTCCCCCAGACGATTCTTCGACACGTCCTGCAAAAGTTGCAGTATGTTTCCAGGGGTGTGTGGGATGCGCAAACGATGCCTCAATTTACACCTTCGCGTCTAGAGCTGCCTCCCCAGGCGTCTCTAGATGTTTTCTTCTTCGGTGAAGGACCCCCCCCCATTGAGCGACGCGTGGCTCATTGGCCTGCAATTGAGGCGGGAGCCCTCGTTTGAACACAATCCGTTTCCATTGTTATAGTTGTCGGATGGTTTAATATGTACCATTACATGGAAGTGCATAGTGTGATACATTGTTTTATTTCACGACCTGACACCTCGCCATGAAGCCATTGCTTGATTCCCAATCTCTTGCCACAAAGTTGGATGACGTTTCAAAAACGAGCCATCTCCGTCCGAATACCGGTTGCGCGAGTCCCATCTGATGCCAACAATTTTGATGTTGTATCAAGCGGCATCTCAGCTGTGCAAGCGAGTTGCTCTCCATCAGTATAATTATTCAAAGTTGTTGAGATGAATGTGCGGTGCGCTAAGACGAGCCACATTTTGAGAAACCGCTCTCCTTCAGTATACAAGGTGGTAGCTCTTAAGGCAAATCTGCAGGGCGCTCAAGCAAAAGCTTGATTTGAAGTCTACCCGCCCACCACCCGCATCACTGGTGGAAGTCTGAAGTTTCAATGTTATATGTGGTGTGGAGCTCTTAGGCGATACGCTTAGTCCGCCCTAGCATTACTGACAGGTTTTGTGGTGCGACGAGGAGGATCTATTGGAGAGGCCTTACGGCCGGTGCCGCCGACCCTAACGACGACGGCGATGTTGACGTGTGTCAGAGTCCTCAGTGGGGCTTCTTGGGGTCTCTTCGGAGCGCTCTCGGGGGCCTCCGGGGAACCTTCTTGGAGCCTCTTGGGGCCTGTTGGGAGGCTCCTGGGGGCCTCTTGTGGCTTCCTGAGGGCCTCTTGGGGGTCTTTTGCCCTCTGGGGTTGCTTGGGGGCCCTCTTGAAAGACTCGTGGGCTATCTTGGAGCGATCTTGGGGGCTTCTTGGACCGTCTTGGAGTGTCGGGAAGCCGAAAAGGCGAGAATCCCCAAATCTATCAAACAACGTGAGGGAAGTCAATGAAATGTGCCTCTTGGGGCCCTCTTAGGAGTGCTCTTGGAGGCATCCTCTTGGGGCGTCTCGGCAACCTCTTTGGGCCGTCTGGAGGCTTTTCCAGCGTCTTGGACCGATAGTTCGGCGATTCGGGGTTCTCTTGGACCGCCGTGTTGTGGGCCTCTTGGGATAGTCTTTGTTCGTCGTGGGAGGTTTGGAGTTTTGGGACCTCCCGGGGGGGGGTGGCATTCGGACCCGGGACTTGCCCGGGGTCCACGCCAGGACCCCTTCCCGGGACCCCCCCCCTCGGCGGGGAAGGGATCAAAGAGAAAGGGTTTCCCTTCGACTCAGCTTCGACGTTGCTACTTCATTTCGCTGTGGCTGGCGCGCTTGAGGAGGAGGGCACAGGGAAAGGGGGGGGGCAGCGGCGACGACGACGACGGCGACGACGACGACGACGACGACGACGAACGGAAGAGCGTCTTCCACACGCCGACAGGGTCGGCGGATTTGCAACGAGGACGCGAGGTCTATCAGGAGCAGGTGGAGGGGGGAGGAGCAGGTGGAGGGGAAAGGCAGGTGGGAGGAGGAAAAGGAGGAGGAGGAGAAGGAGGAGGAGGAGGAGGAGGAGGAGGAGGAGGAGGAGGAGGAGGAGTCGAGGAGCAGGAGGAGGAGGAGGAGGATTGTTGACAGCGCTCAACGAAGCGCGGGCCAACGTGCCCTGGCCAACGGCCACCGTGGCCAACGGCCAACACCCAGGGCACACGTGAAAAAAGGGGGATCACGGAAACAAGCTGGGACCTGACCTCCAGCTTTCTTTCTCTGGCTAACTTCCAATCGCGCCAGAAACGCTGTGCCTTAGGGAGAAAATCAAGAAAAAAAGAAAGCACACCACGGACCGCCCTACACCCCGAGCCAAACTGCCGCATGGGGGTTCGGGATCGGCGCCCAAGGGACAATACGCGGAGCGTTGCGCAGCGCCCGCAGCCCCGCAAGCACGGCAACAGGATGCCTGCGGCAAAGAGCACTGCATCCAAGAGGTTACAGGCGGAAAGCCGCGGGCCCCGCCTCCGTGATCGTCACCGGCGCTTCGCTTCGGACCAGGAGGTGCCCTTGGGGGTGCCCCGCGCCCAGGCCGCACCTCGTTGGCCGAGGTGGCAGGAGGGCACCACAAGCCCTGGCCTGACGGCTGCAACGGCGACAGCGGCGGCAGCAGGGGCGGGGAGGGGGGGGGACCGCTCTCCGGCCCAGGAGCGCAAACAACGTCCACTCCGGAATTTCCGGGCGAAGAGAATTATGCACATGCACCGGTCCTGGCCAGGCCCATCCTTGGCCCCAGGATCGGTGCATATGCCTTCCTGGCCAAGGCAGGAGGGCGTATGCACCGATCTTGGGCTCAGGATGGACCTGGCCAAAATCGGTGTATGTGCATGGGTCTTTTTCCTCCTAAATTTAATCCAGGGCCGTGCCGCATTTCCGAAAGAGGGAAGGGGCGACGGACACGACGACGAAGCGAGACTCGAGGGACGACAACGAACGACCACGAACCTCCCAGCGGGAAGTGCCGCCCTCCGCCCCTTCCTTATCGCACCCGCGAGCGGGCGGGATAAGGAGCCTGACATCATCGGACCCACACCGCATTCAGGCGGTGCCACACGGAGCCCAGGCTGCACCGCTTATCCGCGGCGGCGAGGCATTTGAAAATCGCCTCGCTTCGACGGCAGCAGCAGGAGGAGGAAAACATGACGAGGAGGAGGAGGAGGAGGAGGAGGAGGAGGAGCAGGAGGAGTCGAGGAGCAGGAGGAGTAGGAGGAGGTGGAGGAGGAGGAGGAAGAGGAGTCGAGGAGGAGGAGACGGAAGAGGAAGAATAAGGAGTGGTGGGAACGAGGAAGGCACGGGGAAATAAGTGGAGGGGAGGAGAGACTGTCCTCATGCATTGCAGCAACTCCCCCCGTCCTAATCTCACCTACGCCCGTGTCCCATCCGCCAGGCTGGCGCTGAAATTTCCGCTCAGCTTCGTGGACTCGCCGGCTTGCGCGTATGCGCTTTTCCAAGGTGGGAAGGGGAACACGATTGGCTCTACAGAGACAAGATGTGTCTGAGTAGCGCACGTTCCCACAATCAAGCTTCAATGCTCTTCTGGCACCTACGACCTACGATCATTATATCGCAACGGCGATTGCCAGATATCCAGTTAGGGGTGTTCTTCAAGCGTCATCAGCCGTGGGGTTGAACTCATCTCCGATTGGGCTGCCGCACATATCGGTCACCGCGCTGGACCAGGGTTGTGAAACTGGTTCGTGGATTGGCGTGGTCATTGGCGGCCCTGTTTTCAGTTGAGGGCGACGAAGGGAAGGGGAAATTGGCCCACTGGCGGGAGGGACATCGGCCCCACATTGCGCGTAAATCGCCGATCTGAACTTGGTCGCCCTGATTGCATCGCCGATTCCATGTCGATGTCCGCCCCATGAGCCGTTTATCCTTTCTTCGCCCCCCTTATCGCTGGCGGTCTTCTGCTTGGAACCAGCCTTGGTGGGGAGGCGGTTCTGGACACACGGTCGCGTTGGTGGCCAGCGTTTCTCCCATTCTTTTCCGATCGGTCCGATTTGACATCGATGTTGGCCACTTTGGTCAGTTTCGACTTCGCGATCCGCTGCGGCCCGATGTTTACACGGCGCCGTTGTGCATCCTGTTGCAGCCCATCCGATTCGATCCGCACCCCGTGCCGCCGCGGCCCGATCCGGCGCACGCCCATTTCCGAGTCGGTGCAATGGCCCAGTTCGGTGCCGATTGATCCTGTCCCATGGTCCGAGTGCAGCCTCGGTGACCACATGTGAACCCTGCCCCCACGCCCCACGAGTTCTGAGGGTGGGGGGCGGGGTTCGCCTCGCTCTGGAGCTCCCGAGCGAGGTGACCCCCCTCAGAAATCGTGGGGGGGTGGGGGCAGGGCTCTCACACGTGGCCACCTGCAGCCAGACGCGCAGGAGTGCAGCCGGCCGGCCGTGGAATCCCACACGGCGCTGCGACGCCGCGCGGGCCCAGGCCGCGAGCACACGCACGGCGAGCACGAGGCGGGCGCAGCCCCGTCGAGGCTCCTCGGTGCCAGTGGCGCTGGGCCCGGTCGACCTGCTCCTGGGCTTCGGTCTCGCCGTCGTCGTCGCCATTGTTCTCATTCCCCCCCCCCGGGTTCTCAAGGGTTCTGGCTTTCCAGCCTACTTGAGCCTCGACCACCAGGAAGAATTCCGAGCATCAAGACGTCACCGCACACCAAACCACCCCAACCCGACCCGGAGGCCCCAAGTTGCCCTCCATCTCGGGTGGGGGGCGGGGGTCGGGGAACAATGATAAAACACATATGAAACCCGTACTCCCCCCAACCCGAAATTGGGGTCTTCGGATTGGGTTGGGGTGGGCTGGTAGGTTCACGTGTCGGTCCCTGGGAGGCGATATTCGTTCGACACTTCTTCGATACTCTCTGGGTGCTCGAAGTCATTTCTTGGATGCGGTTCTTAAGCAGGATGGGAGCAACAGAACTCAAGGGAAGTAAAAACACCCGGACCCGAGAATCAGCGTTTACAAATGGCCCTGGACGTGTACTACACTGTCCTGCCCTGTTCGATTCCTCTTTTGGGTGCACTTACTAAACGGCCTCGCTTGTCGGGGTGGTCATTGTGGGGGTGGATTTTTACCTAACAGCTCTTGCTGATAGGTTTCTAGTGGTCTCAAAAGAGAGCATCATGACTCCTCAGGGGTGTCTGGGCGGGACCCGGACAGGCTGCCGCCGAAGCTGCCGCCGAAGCCGAAATCGCTTGGGACATCCTCGCAAAATCGCTCTTGGTGCTCCCAGAACTCCATTCCCGGGCCACATTTTGGATGCCCGGAGCCAACTGTAGGCCACTTCGTGCTCTTCGACTTCCCAGAACTCCATTCCCGGGCCAAATTTTGGATGCCCGGAGCCAACTGTAGGCCACTTCGTGCTCTTCGATTTCCCAGAACTCCATTCCCGGGCCACATTTTGGATGCCCGGAGCCAACTGTAGGCCACTTCGTGCTCTTCAAGTTCCCAGAACTCCATTCCTGGGCATGATTTTGAATGCCCGGAGCCAACTGTAGGCCACTTCGTGTTCTTCTAGTTCCCAGAACTCCATTCCTGGGCCACATTTTGAATGCTGAGGCAGGCTGATGCTGCGGCCGAGGCAGGCTGAGGCTGAGGCAGGCTGAGGCTGAGGCCGAGGCTGAAGGCAGACTGAGGCTGAGGCTGAAGCAGACTGAGGCTGAGGCTGAGGCAGGCTGAGGCTGAGGCTGAAGCAGGCTGATGCTGAGGCAGGCTGAGGCTGAGGCTGAGGCTGATGCAGGCTGAGGCTGAGGCAGGCTGAGGCTGAGGCCGAGGCTGAAGGCAGACTGAGGCTGAGGCTGAAGCAGGCTGAGGCTGAGGCTGAGGCAGGCTGAGGCTGAGGCTGAGGCTGAGGCTGAGGCAGGCTGAGGCTGAGGCTGTGACTGCGACTGCCGTTGCCGCTGCGACTGTCATCGCGAATGCGACTACGACTGCGAGAACAGCAGAATTCGACAACTGGATTTTCATCTGAATCTTAAGGGGAATGCTTTCAGATATGCTTCTACACATCGCTGTTAGGTTGCTTTGCCGGGATAATTTGCCCTCGAGATTCGCTCTCCCTTTCCCTCCAGCAGCATGTGACTTTCCACCTCCGCCTATCGACGTCCAGCGTCCAGCCGCTCCGCACTCCGACCCCCAGCCTCCAGCAGCATGTGACGTGCTACCCTCACCTCAACCCATCGACCTGCAGCGTCAACCAGCTCAGCACCCCGACGTCCACCCTCCAGAAGCCGACCTTCCACTTCCACCTACACCTGTCGACCTCGAGCGTCAACCAGCTCTGCACACCGACCTCCAGCCTCAAGCATCCGACTCTCCACCTCCACCTCCACCTGTCGACCACCAACCTCCAACAATCGAGTCCACAACAACACTTCCATCTATCGACATCCAGCCTCCACCAACTCAGCACCCCGACCACCAGCCTTCAACATCCGACTTTCCACTTCCACCGCCACGAATCGACGTCCAGCCAGTGCTATCACAGCATTCCGACCTTCAGCCTCCGTCACCCGACTCCACGCTTCCACCTACACAGACCAATTCACGAAGCACTGGAGGAGGACGAGGAAAACATAGCACGGCGGATGGCGACGTTCCCATCAGCATGCGCCGAAATCGCCCACGGGAAAACATCGACGGCGACGAAAAAGAGCACAATCAGCAAAATCGAGCATCACATCCATCGTCCAACCATTTACCATTATCCACAAGAATGTGCGAAGTCTTACAACGGACGATTCCATAGACGAGCTGTTGCATGAATTGAATGACGTACACTGGCATGTTCTTGCTACCAACGAGACCTGGAGAACTGAATCTCGCGAGATGTGGATCACAAGCCGTGGCAACCATTTGTTTGCAGCATCCGGCCACACAGACACGTCGCGAGGAGTTGCATTTCTCGTTCATAGGCAACGTGTCCGGCATGTCAGATGCTTCGGGGCCGTCAACGAGCGAATCGCCTACATCGACATCGACATCCCAGAACAGAACATGAAAGTCCTGACGGCGTATTTCCCTCACTCCGGATACGCAGACATTCACATCCAGCACATGTACGCCCATCTGGATTCACTGCACGCCGCCGCTATCCAAGACACGCGGATATGCATCATTACGGGGGATTTCAATGCACAGGTTGGTAGACACCTTGACAATAACGACGGCGGCAAGGACGACGACGAACGATCCGAGGCCTTGGGCCGTAGAAACACGGTAGGCAAGTTCGGACTGGGCACGTGCAACCCGCGAGGAACATGGCTCCGTACTTGGTCTAGCACACGTAAGATGATCATTGCAAACGCTCTCTTCTACAAGCACCACCACAGCCTTTTCACCTACACGAGCAGTGGCAAACAGCCGACTCAGACACAAATTGATTACATCCTGATAGACAGAGCACGTCGCATTTAGGTGATTGATCCGTTTGCCTCCAACGTCCCAGATTTCGGCTCCGACCACCAAGGAGTGCACATCAAGTTGGCATTCAGGACTACGGCGAGAAGGAAGAGGGGACACAAGCAAACGCGCCACCACTGGCGCTCCCAACCTGCAGCTGACGACCCTGTCTTCCAGCAGTGCCTTCAAGAGCATCTGGCAAACCAGCACCACGACGCCGACCTGGACAGCAGATGCCGGGACATCGGAGAAGGGCTCAAGCTCGCAAACAAGGACTACCAGGAGCTCCACGAGAAAAGCACCAGAGACCTTCCGGACATCCTCGACGACGATCCGACAGCACGGCTCAAAGCACTCATCCAACAACGACGCATACTCCACCAAGGGACCTAGCTACCAGAAGGTCCCTCAGAAAGCACATCGCGCGGCAGACAAGGGCCATCAAATGCAATGAAATGAACGCCAAGCTCGAACACATCGTTTGCCAATTGAAAGGCCTAAAGAGAATAGCTGGCTGAAAAAAACATCAAGCACAAGGAGCTACTTGCATCAATGAAGACACCTGATGGCACTGAGGAGACACACAGGCAAGCATAGCAGACGTATTCGCAACCTTCTAGGAGGAGCTACACAATAATCCGCACCGTTCAGACAGCTTCCGCTACACCCCAAGGACAACTCAGCACGACTCAGCCATCCCACCTTTCACCGAACCAAACTCCAGCAAGCAATCAAACAAGTCAAGAACGACATGTGCAAAGACACCGCGGGGCTCACAGCAGAAATGCTCAAAGCTGGGGGCGCTACAATACAAGACCACCTACTCCGACTCTACAACGACATCATTCAACCTAATCAGACACCACCGGGCCAGTGGAAGACCACCACAATCACCGTACTTTACACATCAGGAGACCCACAACTCCCAGGCAATTACAGACCGATTGCCATTATCCCATTGCTCTATAATTTGATGTCTCGCCTCCTCTGTAACCGTCTGGACTCTCTGTTCGGCTCTCAGCAGTGCCCTGACCAAGCAGGCTTCCTGAAGGATTATTGCACGGAGGACCACCTGTTCACCACTGCCATGCTACGTGAGGGTTTCTACGAGTGGCAGCTACTGTTGTGGGCAGCAACATTCGACTTTGAGGAGGCGTTCGACTGTGTAGACCACTATCAATTATGGGAAGCTTTGCGACAACAGCACATACCTCCTGCATACATGAACTTTTCTCCAACCGGTTGTACAGCACCCAAACGGCAACAGTCAGGACAGACACCACCAGCAGGGCTTCCAGTATCGAGCGTGGCGTGAAACAGCGAGACCCACTGAGCTCTTGCTTGTTCAACGCTGTCCCCGCGCAGGTGTTCAGACAAGCGAAACCTGAGTGGCAGCGCGAGAACTTCGGGATCCAATCAGGCTTCGCACCACTGGCACGGATCACACATCTACGTTTCGCCGACGATGTTTTGCTCTACGCCCCCAAAGATCCTGGCCGACAAGTCGGACTGCAAGCCTCCTCGTGGCGGCCAGGGGTAACTTGATGCTGGCAGTATCTGTCGACGGCCGTCTTTCCCCAGAGGCGGCGGAGGGCATCAAGGCCAAGGAGGTAGAGGGGGCCTCCAGTAGACGCAAGTGTGCGGTGACGGCGGTCCGCGGCAGCCGACCCAGGGAGTGTAGGCCTAGTGCCCTGACTTTATAGTCCTCGCCGCATCGGGGGGGCGGTCACGATTCCTACTGGGAAGGCTCTCGTTGGGTGCATCCTGATCGGCGCACCTCGCGGGCTTGACTTGAGTTCCGCCAGCAACGGAAGGCTTGCGAGGGGTGTCTGGCCTCCCTGGCTGTGCTCCCAAGTACTGCCACGCACAAAATCGCCCTGCGGCGGATGGCTAAGCCAATCGCCGGGAGTGGTCATTTTGACCTTTGCAGCTCCTGCTCGGCTTGCTCCGAGATATACAATCCCAAGCCAAGGCATGCGGTTTGGCACTGCACCCGGACAAGACCAGAATCCGGACGAATGTCAGCCGGAGAGAGGGGAGAACCATTTCTCATGTCGACATCAACGGCGAACGCATCGAAATATTGTGTGCCGACTAGAGCACGAAGTATTTTGGAAGGGAGTTTATTTTCCATGACTTCAACGAGACAGAGCTACGCAATAGGATTGCCGCAGGATGGGGCCGCTTCAACCAATGATGATACGAGCTGACACACAAGCGTTTCCCACTCCACAGTCGACTAAGGCTGTTCAACGGAACAATCACAGCATCAGTGATGTACTGGTCCTCCTCTTGGACCCTCACCAGCGACACGCGTCTCACTTTACGGCGTGCACAGCGGAGGATGTTCAGGCTTGTCATCGGGGTGCCAAGGCGACGCGATCTACAAAACCACACTCGCGACACAGACACCAACGAAGCGACCAGCGCCGACGCAGCAGACTCCCCCATCCAAAACGACAGAGCCGACGACAGAGAAGACGACGGGTTGGAACCATGGGAAGAATTCGTACGAAGATCGACGCACGCAGCCCTAGAGCATGCTCGGCGCGCAGGCGTAGAGGACTGGCCTACGGTATACTTAACACGGAAGTGGCGGTTGGCATTGCGCGTCGCAACCCACGACTACGACAGATGGACGCGGCTCTCACTACAAGGACAACGGACACGATGGGATGCCGAAGTCACACAATTCGTACGCACAGTCACGACACACGAGGGACACGACGACCACAAAAGGTGGATACACATTGCGACGGACAAGAAAGTCGGCGTTGGAGCCGAAATTTCTGGCTTATGTCAAGTGTGGGGATTGTGTGCGAAACTCCGACTTCACGGTTTGAGTCCTTCCTCCTTCCCCCTCGACTAAGGTTTTTTCTCGGCGTTCCGGCGCCACCGCAGCGCCTCGCCTCGCATCGCCTCCATTTCCTTGTCCGGGCCACCCAACCCCCAGCCATTCCCCGTCGTCCCTCTTGCGCCACCTGGCCCCCCGCCCATCCGCACGCGCACTTCCCTGCCACCCCCCCTTGGGCGTCCGCTGTTTTGTTGCCGCTCCCTCGGTCGTCTTGTGCCTCGAGTTGCGTCGTGGGTTGCGCCATCCTTGGATTACGCTATGGACCGTGCCATCAGTATTCGGATGAAACTCCTGGGAGGTCAAATTCTAATTTTGCCCTGGTCCGAAATCTGGCTTAGTCCGGCTTTATCCCGCTTGATCCGGCTTAATCCCGCTTAGTGCGCAGCCCACTCCAGCGTAACAGCTCCACAATGGGTCTTAATTCTTTTTAACACTTCTCACGAAGACCTCCCAACTGTTGCCTCCTAAATCAGTCGATTGCACCATCAGGCGCGCGATGGGTTGCGCCATAGGTTGTGCCATAGGGGTCGCGCGATCCATGGGTTGCGCCGTGCGCTGAGCCCTCGGCAGCCAGGTATGAATGGTTCGCTCACGATTGCGTCATAGGTTGCCCCCCCGGCGGTCGCACATTTGTCAGCATGCCAAGGGGTTCGACTAGTCCAGCCAATGCACCTATAAAACAAGAAGGTTGGGATGCGCCCGTACGCATGCATGTTTGGAACATTAGGACTTAGCACATGTCAAGTGCCTTCCTACACCAACCATCGAAAGGCCTCATAGTATGTTTTCCTACTCGGCTAGGCGAACCCAAGTGGACTCAAAACGCATTCCTTTCTGGTGATTGTGTTCTTCTGATTGGCTTGCACTCAAGGGCCTGAGTGCAGCCATATCCGCAGGAGTTGTGTTCTTCTAGTCCTCCTATTTGGTGTCAGAGTAGATGGGGTCGGAGGATCACGCCACATCGTCGATGCATCGGCAATGCGGCTCGATGTTAAGCCCGATTTTTCCACGCTGGCGTCGCCGATGCATCGCCGATGTCGCCGATGCATCGGCGATGTATCACCGATGTATCGGCGATGTATCGCCGATGTATCGGCGATGCGGCGCGATCCTCCGACCCCTTCTACTCCGACCTCATCTAGGAGGCCTCTAGTTCTAGAGTTTGGCTCACACAGGTTGTGGTCCACTCCCCCAGGTCAAGAGTCTGGCTCACGCAGCTGGCCGCTGCAGGTGCGACAGTCAACCCTGCAAGAGCACGAGAGTTCGGATGCAACTCCTGGGAGGTCAAATTCTGATTTTGCCCTGGTCCGAAATCCGGCTGAATCCGGGCTAATCCCGCTTATTCCAAGGCCCACTCTGGCGTAAAAGATCCCAAATGGGGCTTGATCGTCCTTGCTCTTTCCGACGAAAACCTCCCAGTAGTTGCCTCCTAACGAGAGGGGATAGGCCCTTCTTTTGCGGACGCCGGTACGGATCGACTGTCTTAGGGGCCTTCCTACTGCAAGGATCGAGTGCTTTCCCTTCTCCCTCCTCTGCAGGGGATGGGCGGAGGTCCAACCTGCTTCCAACGCCCTCCTACTTCATGTTTTTACCCACCTCCGACCGACGGGCACAGTCGAAACCCATGGGTAACCCTCCAAGGGTACCCTTGATCCTTGCCTCTTCGGTCCAGCTTTGACCACTTTCGATGGCTGGCCCCTCTCGAAAAGCGTCGACATGCGGGGCGAGCATCCTTCTCGCGCATCCTTACGGCAGGTTCGCGTCGTGTCGACCGGCGGCGACCCCGCCGCCGGCGTTCAACGTTGAACGCCGCCGGCGACCCAGAATCGGTCGACGTTGAACGATCTGATGTTTCGGAGATGGCCGATCGTTCAATGTCGAACGAACCCCGCGGTGTCAGAAAAACCATCGCTGAGGTCGGCACGACGCGAACCCGCCGTCGTCCTGTGCATGGTGCGGCAGGTTCGCGCCGTGTCGGCGCGGCTGCGACCCCGCCGCGGGCGTGCGAGGTGGAGCGTCGCCGGCGGTCCCGAGAGAAGGCCAGCACGAAGCGACAGGTCGCGGAAGGTGGAGTGAGCCACGCGAGGTCAGCGACCAAGGCCAGGGTCGTCGCGACACACGCCGGGCTGGAGGGGGGGAGGGGGAGGGGGAGGAGGGGGAGGGGGAGGAGGGGCAGAGGGGGAGGGGGAGGAGGAGGGGGAGATGGGGAGGGGGATGGGGAGAGTGGGAGGGGGAGGAGGACAAGCCAGGTGCGCTCGCGTCATGTCTGACATCCTACCCCTCCCTCCCATCCCTTACCATGGCGCAGATCCCCTCTCTACTCGCAAGTCGGATGTCGAGCAGGGCAATGATCCCGAAAGGGTACGCGATGCATTGTAGAGCACGGCATGGCATGGCGTAGAAGAGCACCGCAAAGCGTAGTATCAACCTAGCATTGCATTGCATGCCGTGGCATGGCACGGGAAATGACGCCAGCGCTGCAGAGGGAGCACGAGTCGAAACGAGCAGAAGCGCGGAAATAAGGCCAGCACTGCAGCGGGAGCACGATTCGGAACGAGCGGAAGCACGGAAATGAGGCCAGCGCTGCAGCGGGAGCACGATTCGGAACGAGCGGGGCCCGAAAATGAGGCCGGCGCCTCAGCGAGAGCAGCATTTTGAAAACAAATGCAGGCGAAAACCCAACTCCGGGGAAACTTGTGTGTGAAAAGACAGTACGTGGGCGGGGGGGCGGACACTCCCAGGCCGTCATCAGGGGAAGAGGGAGAGTAGTATTCATATTGAGTAATTGTGGAGGAGGGGGAGGAGGGGGAGGAGGAGGAGGAGGAGGAGGAGGAGGAGGAGGAGAAGGAGGAAGATGACGAGGAGGAGGAGGAGGAGGAGGAGGAGGAGGAGGAGCAAGAGGCCCTTCGGGGACCGGTCGGGCCAGGCCTGCGCAGCGCGGAGTCCGCCCAGTTCTGCGCGGAGAACTTCCACAAGAAATTGCTCCCGCTGCTGGCCGAGAAGATTCACACCTATCAGCTGCCCGAGCTGCGCGAGGCGACGGCTGCTGCGGCGACGACGACGACGACGACGACGGCGACGCGGCGACGACGACGACGACGGCGGCGGTGGCGGCGACGGCGACGATGACCGCGACGGCGATGGCGGCGACGGTGGCGACGGCGACGACGACGACGACGACGACGACGGCCACGGCGACGGCGACGGCGACGGCGACGGCGATGGCGACGACGACGACGACGACGATCGCGGGGAACGATCGGTGGGCAAGGTTAGGCGGGATCTCCTCAGGGCATGATGGATCGACGCCAAAGTTACCCATCGATCGCCGACAGGGGCCCGATACCTCCGCTCCGCCCATGTGCGTGCGGTCTCGCTATCGGGGCCCATGGCGGATCTATCGGCGATGGATCGCCGATGACAGGTCGATGTTCCCCGATCATGCGTACAGGAAGGAGTTGCTCAGAAGGAACGGGATGAATGTGGGGAGGGATCGGGAGGAGACGCATGAAATTGGGTTGGAGGACGGGGACGACGAACGGAACGACATCTGAAGGAGGCGGGATAACGGTGGAAGCGTGCATGAGCGGGAGCTTGAAGATAGTGAACGGCAGGATCAGGAAGACGAGGAGGAGGAAGAGGAGAAGGAAGAGGAGATGGATCTGGAGTGCCCAGCATGGCACGCAGACGGTGGAATCTGGCGCGAGAGCTGGGTAGAGCGAGATTCCAGCTGGCGCAGACGGCGACAACGGCTGGCGCCGTCTTTGTGCCCTCGGCCGCCTTCGCGTCCACGCAGTTCCAAGGTTTTGGCGCCACTCGGTTGACGCGGATAGAAAGCAGGTGTGCAGTTGGGACCCCACATCCTCCATTTCCTCAAGACGCCTCCACATTCCATCGGTCGAACGGCTTTCCTGCTTCCTTCCTTTGGGCCAGGCTGACACTCGACCGACGCAATGGCATGTCAACCCGCTCGGAGACCCAAGGAGATCGGACACGAGAGCGAAGGTTTTCGAAGGCAGACAGCGTGTTTAAACGCGTATCGGCTGACCTTCCCTCACTTTTCCCTCCTCCTGCATGCCGGGCAATTCGCTGTGTAGTGCCCCTGCACCATTGCCACGCTTGAGCGGTTCGTCTCGCCTCGCTGCCGACGGAAAAAGTTTAAATGCATATCAGGTGTAAATGCGAATTGTTACCGGCTCCCGCTAGCTCCGCCGCGAGCTCGAATGACGAATACCCAGCTCAGAACGGTTCTCCTCTGGACACGATAATGGTGCCACTGATCTTCTGCGAATGGGACAACATGACTCAGAGTTCTGCCAGGCACAGCCGGGGAGCTCGGATGGTCCGATCTTCAGCTTTGGTGCGCCAAGGTGTTGAAGAAGACACTGGAGGCGTTGGACACAGACCTGCTCAAGAGCGTGCACGCCTTCAGCGGCGTTTGTGCTGCAATAGTCCTGGTTCTAGGAACCTCGCGGAAGTATTGGGAAAGTGAGGTCGAGACGTGGGAGTGGGATCGGATCTTTCGAAAAGGGAATCGTGCACGTATGTAAGGTGGCGAGTAGGGTTGAGATAGCAGTACGCTACGGAGGGTGAGAGCCAGTCGAGGGTGGTGACGAGAAAGGGGTTTGTCGAGGGGACCACATGATAGCGGGTGACGCGGAAGGGGCGCGCAGTACATATGAGCTATATAGTTATGCAGTATTGGATGATCGGAGCACTGAGGGGACAATGAATGTCAAGCTTGAGGCATCGTGTTGGAATTCTAAACGCTTCGCGTATCCCCACCAGCCCGTCCAGAAATGAGCCCCAGTTGAGTGGAGGTGATGAGGGAAGCGGGGGAGCATGCAGAAGAACAAAGGGCGGGGTAAGCCGCCATATACCCCAAGAGGGGGAGGATGTAGCAGGAGTCGTCGTCGTCGGAGTAGGAGGAGGAAGAGGAGGAGCAGGAGGAGGAGGGGGAGGAGGAGGAGGGGGAGGAGGAGGAGGAGGAGGAGGAGGAGATGGAGGTGGGCGAGGACGCGGAGGACGAGAAGGAGGAGAAGGAGAAGGAGGAGGATGAGGATGAGGAGAAGCAGGAGAGGGAGGGGGAGGAGGGAGGAGGAAGAAACAGAGGAGGAGGAGGAGGAGGAGGAGGAGGAGGAGGAGGAGGAGGACAATGGCGAGCTTTGGGGCCTCTTGGCGGTCCTGGGGGCCTCTTGCGTATCTCGGGGAGCCTCTTGGGGCCTCTTGGGGGTCTCTTGGGGCCTCTTAGGGGTCTCTTGGGGGCCTCCTGGGGGCCTCATGGGGCCATCTTGGGGCCATCTTGGGGCCATCTTGGGACCTCGTGGGGCCTCCTGGGCGCTTTTTGAGGCCATCTTGAAGGAGATCTATCAAAGAAGGGGGGGTGGGAATGAGCGTCGCCCCCCCAGGAGGCCGACATGGGGCCAAAACCTTAGTAACATCAATGAGTTTGGCTTCCTCGCCGAGGCCATCTTGGACGCTCTGCCGACCAGCGCCCCCCCCCGTCCAGGTCCAGGGGAGGGGGTAGGGGGAGGGGTCAAGACCCCCTCCCCGCCCGCAAGCCGTGTCGCTCACTCCCACCCGCCCTCCCAACACATACGTAGCACCCGAGTCTGGCCCGAGCCTCAGCATATTCAGCAGTCGTCTTTGGATTGGCAGCTACTGGGGGCCAATCCGCCGCCGCCGCCGCCTCCGCCGCCGCCGCGCCGCTGTCGCCGCCCGCCGCCGCCGCGCCGCCGCCGCGCTGCCGCCGCCGCCGCCGCCGCCGCCGGCCGCCGCCGCCGCCGCCGCCGCCCGCCGCCGCCGCGCCGCGCCCCCCGGTGCCAAACCACCGCCGCCGCCGCAGCCGCTGCCGCCACCGCTACCGCCGCCGCCGCCGCCGCAGCCGCCGCCGCCGCCGCCGCCGCAGCCGCCGCAGCCGCCGCCACCGCCGCCGCAGCCGCCGCAGCCGCCGCCGCCGCCGCCAAGTGTAATCTGTATTGTTTTTTGACAGGGGTGGTGGGGGGGGGGCCGCATCGGGTTGGCTGCGCATGTTCCGAATTTGGAGGCAGAGTGTGTCTTGTATTGTTTTTTACAAGGGATGGGTGTGGGGGGGGTCGTCATGGACTCGGGTTGGCCCCCAGTCGCCTGGGGGAGGGGGTGTTCATTAATAGGGAACAGTGATAAACCCCCCCCGAAGGGGAAGAAGGAGGGGTGGAAGAGGAAACTCCCTAAACCACCTACGCCCACAGGGCTGGTGGGATTATACGTCGGGGTCGCAAACAGCGAGTGAGGATGACGCATTCCATGCGCGAGCAGAAACATTTTGACCGTTGTTTCCCTCCTACCTTACCCAGAGCAGCATGTCGAAACACCGTCGTTTGTTCGTCCGCAGCCGACAGCTAGCTTCGCGCAGCTTGCACCAACCAGTTGTGCACCCTCTTTTCGTCCTCCCTGTTTTTTCCTCCCTCCTCCCTCCTCCTCCCTCCCACCTCCTCCTCCATTCTTCTCCTTATAGATAACTCCTCCTTGTCGCACCCCAAGGCCAGTTTTTAAGGCGGGACGGGCGTTTCGCTTGAGACTTCGTCACAATATATGATTTTGAAGTTAAAAAAGAAATAGCATTTTCGCAGATGGAGGGCGGGTGGTTTCCAAAATGCGTCTCTTGCCTTAGCACCGCGCACATTCGTGTTCAACATTTGCAAGAGTTTCACGGGTTAAGGGCAATTCTTTTTCAAAATGTGATTCTCGCCTCCGCGCCGCGCACATTCGTCTTAAACGTTTGCAAGAGCTTCACGGATTGAGGGCGGATCGTTTTCAACATGTGTCTCTCGCATGAGCGCCGCGCAGATTTGTTTTAACAGTTAGAAAAAGATTCACGGATTGGGGGTGGTTCCTTTTCAAAATGTGGTTCTCGCCTTAGTGCCGCGCGCATTGGCTTTGCAAGAGCTTCACGGAGTGGGGTCGGGTCTTTCAAAATGTGGTTCTCGTTTTAGCGCCGCGCGCATTTTTTGTTGATGATCAAGATTTTCACGGGTTAAGGGCCGTTATTTTTCAAAATGTGGTTCTCGCCTCCGCGCCGCGCACATACGTTTTATACATCATAAGAGTTTCACGGGCTGAGGGCGGTTCCTTTTCAACATGTTGTTTTCGTTCTAACGCCGTGCACATTCGTTTTTCTTCCAAATTTGCAAGAGGTTCACGGGGTTCCATGGTCCACGTACTTGACGCTGTGTTTTGGAAGGATTCAGGATTATGCGGGCGCAACAGTCATGTTTATTCGCTGAGTTGAAGTCCCCAAAATGGCGTTCTGGCACGAATCTGGATCGTCAAGACGCAGCAGTTAGGTTGATACGTGGCGTTGAGATCCCGAGAACGGTGCTTTGGCACGCTTCAGGATCGTCAAATTGCTGTCTTCCAACGAGGCAGTCCCCTCAATGGAAATGGACCTTTGTAGGGCCCTATAAAGAGGGAGCTTGGTTGGACGGAGGGTTAATTCCAACATCGTTGATGACTCTTGGGTTTCCACTGGTCCTCCTCCTCCTCCTCCTCCTCCTCCTCCTCCTCCTCTTGTCCTCCTCTTCAGGCGCGGGCGCGCGCGCCTAACGGCGGGGTCGGGTCGATCAAACCCCGCGGCCGCGTCGTCGCCCCGTGTGCACTCGCCGTGCATTGTGCGCAGCGGTCGTTACCCTCCTCCTCCTCGCCCTCTCCTCTTCCTCCTCCTCCTTCGCATCCTCCTCTCTCCTTCCGCACTTGTGGGCCTTCATTCGTGACATGTTCGTTGCGTGCTGCTGCCATTGCAGGCCCGCACGACGTTCGCTGTCACGGCGCGCTCACCTAAGCGTTGGCGGGGATCCGGCATGGGACATCTGGTGAAAAATAAAACGGTTTTCAAACGCAACCGTTTTCTCGTTCGTACCGTACCTTGTCGGCCTCGCCCCGACGACTTTAAACCTATGTGGGGCTGAGGTTGTTTAGCTCGAAGAAATGCCGCGCCTTATGTGTGGCCTCCAATCCACCCACCCTGTAGATACATAGCGCCCTCTGATTCACCCACCCCCTTTGCAGCAGCGCCTTGTTTTCAGCGCGCTGGTCTGCTGTTCGTAGTGCGCTCGCAACGTGTTATGTTATGTGCCAGCGAAACCACCCAACCACCCAACCATTTAACGCGCGTTAGGTTTGTTTCAAAGGACTTGAGCTCCTTTTCGGCACGTGGCGGCGCCCGCGTTTTGGCGCCTGTTGTGGTAGCATGTTCTTCAGCACTCCACGCTGTGTCATCGCATCTCATTAAATCCAAAAAACGTTTCGCCCCATGCCATTTTTGGTTTCTCTTCCTTCTCGTCTGCGTGTGGCCCCGCGCGCATGGGGCTGGGGGGTTGGGGGAAGTATGAGGACGATGAGAAGAGTAATGAGGAAGGGGAGACGACAATGAGGATGGAGTTGAAGGAGAAGGAGGGGGATAAGGAGGGGAAGGACGGAGAGGAGTCTATTCACGAGTTGCAGCACAGGCTGTGTGCCGTCGTGGGCCAAACCTCGCCAGACCGACGGGGGAGAACCGAGGACGGGCCGGCTACGCAAGTATGTTTTATCGCATTTGGCTCACATGCATCGAACGGCCGTGCCCGATCTAAACAATTAGCGACATAACATCAACGGAAGAAATACCATCCCGACCCCGATATTTGGCGTTTACTGAACAGCCTGGGGCGTTTACACGGAGCAGCCCTGCCCTGCTCGATGCCTTCCTTGAGTACGTCTACGAAACAGCTTCGCTGGTCGGGGTGCTGATTCTATGGGTGGGTTATCTGCTCTCTGGCACATGCAGAAACAAACAAACAACCGGAACTGTGAGGCGGCTCATCGGTCTATCTCACACGGCACTGTGGCGCTTGTGGTGCCCTTTCTTGTGCTCCCTGGCTGCCGAGACGTCGTCTTCTCCGTTTGGCGCAGCTGCTCTCGCTCAGCTTGAGTTCAAGCGGACAGGACGGCGACACGTGCACAGAGGACCCCGGCCGTCTGCTCTGGAGGCCCCGGGTAGCCTCCGGAGGTTCGAGGCAAGACGCACGCCGACCACGACCAAGGTGTCGTTTGATCTTGTCGATGCCGATCGTGGTCATGCCCTTGGCCTTGACCTCCTGCTCCAGTGGCTGCCACGAGGGCGCGGAGTTCTTCGCGGTCCGCGGCTCGTTGTCTGCTCCCCGCCTCGGTTCCCCCATCGCCTTCCTCCTCGTCCTCTTGTTCGGCATCAATGAGCAGGAGGGCATGTGGGCTTGTGACGAAGCTTTCGGCGTAAGCCTGGGTGAAACAGCTCCTAGTGCAGATCTTGGTGGTAGTAGCAAATACTCAAATGAGAATTTGGAAGACCGAAGTGGAGAAGGGTTCCACGTGATCAGCAGTTGGGGGCGGTGCCTGAGGCGCGAAGGGGTTCGCGCCTCAGGCAGTGCGGAGCGCGAACCTGCTGCCCTTGCTGCTCCCTCGTCGGACCT